TCTCTTCACAGCAGGGGATTGGGCTGGGCTGGGCTGGGCTGTGCTCGAACCAGGCAGTGGCGGCGCTGGGAGCAGAGCTACAGGGGGGCGCTGCAGGCACCCAAAAATTCACTGCTTCCCAGCCCCCTCCCCGCCCTGCGCAGCTCCCAGGATGGGGGAAGGGGAAGGCAGGGTAGATCTTGGGTTGCTTTTTAATTCAAAAAGTGATCTACTTAAAAAGGTTGGAGACCGCTGGTCTAGAGGCAAAAGGAAGCAAAATAAAATAACTTGTTTGCAGTTATCTAGTTGGTCTAATAAAAGATATCACCTCTGCCATAAGTTCTGATTCCATCATTTTTGAGGCAGCTGATTGATGCGTCTATGCAAAACCCGTCACTCTCAGGGAGTCAAACTGACTTTTGCATTGGCTGTCAGCTCTTTCTGATGACTGTTTGCCTCCAAATAAAGAAATGCTTCTACTTGGATGACCCAGTTCTCACTCACTCACTCACTGGCAACTTGCAGTGAGCAATATAAAGTAAGGAAGAAGATTTACTTGCAAATTTATTTGCATATTTTTCAATGGTCAATAGTTTTCAACAAAGACGATAATTTTGAGCTTCCAATACAATAATTTAATGGTTTCAATTATTTCCTGGGGGGGTGGGAGGGTGTGGAGCTGCGGGTGCTGGCCTCTGACTGTGGGTATTAAAATAAAACAAAAATCCTTGCTGGGTTATTATTATTTCTCCCCAAAGGCACCTTGAGCCCGACCAGGGGTGCCTGGAGGCTGGAAACACAGTGATCACAGCAGAGGGAAGGTGCATGCTGGTTCCATGAGCTTCCCACCAGAAGCCTGGAAACACCCCCCTCTTCCTTCCACCACAGCCCCGCATCTTCCTCCCCACTGCCCCAATGACTTTGATTCCCAAGTAGCTAGCTGTAGGGTCTCCAATCCATGTCTCTTCTCTTGCACTTTGATCTGCTCCACTCCAATACTGAGGACAGAAACAAGGCATTGTTTTAAGGGATGATTTTTGCTGTGGCGGGAGCACACCTGGCGTTCTGGTCCTGCAAGCCATTTAGCAACAGCTTGTTTTATCAATGACTGCAGGCAGTGAGGGGGCGGATGCTTTCCAGTTAGCCCCATGCAACAGAAAGGCCTGAGTCAGAGCTGGTATCAATCCATAATATGGATCCACTCACCCAGAGATTGCTGTCACCATATCTGTACTCTCACTGCTTGCCAGCGCAGTGTGGAACAGCCATTTGTACTAACACACAGCCCTGTAAATCTGTCGATATGATCATCAACATGACTTGCTAGTTCCTG